CCGAACGTTGTTTAAGTGACATATACCGGTATTGCGGTATTTTCAAAATTCATATCATAACAAAAATAAAAACCGGTATTCGGTATGAACCGGTATACCGCCCAGCACTACGATGAGTGTTGTCTGTATTATAAGACACAAAATATCTTAACATATATTAAAATATCACCTTTTTTACAGGTACCTAACAAAAGTGTTGTTACTTTTCAAAACAACCAGACAAATTTGAATGATTTTTTTACCTGGCAGAACAATATAATGGGCAAAAAATTTCTACTTGAATATAATAAAGACTTTACGCTCTCTTGATTTCAGCTAGTAAGCAGCCATCCGGAACACCTTAGCAATTGTAACTTGGCTGTTGATCTGAGTCAAACTATCAGCTCTCCTCTTGTGCTTTTCTCATGCGTCTCATGTTACTGACAGGGCTTGTCTCCCATTGCTCGCTCAATGGAAGTGATTCTATTGGAATGCTTATTGATCCCACATATGTCAACAGTGTACTAGGATCCCTTGACTCTACATATCAAACAAGTGTGTTCAATATGGCTTGTTATTGAAAGCTTAATTTGAAACACGCTCATATTTTTTCATGTTTTTTTGCACTGCATAAAAGTGACTTTCTCACGCTTTTAACAGAAGCTGGTCTCTCATGGAAATAGGCATATAATGGAACATTTGGGGTTACATCATGATGTCAGTAACCTTTCCGCAATGGAACTGATTTGTTTGTCAAGAGCTGAGTACAGAGAGCCTCCAAACAGACCCGTTTGTTTGTATGAAACTACAGTTCAAAGGCATTGTTTGAAAGGACAATGAACATGTTAAGACTACATGTAGACAAAACAATTACAAGGATTTCAGTAAAAAAAAATTGTTTATGCCATGTGCTATACCTCTGAATATCAATCAATCTGCACTCTTTCCCAGGCATTATGCATTGCTGTTTGTTTCATATGTTAGTACAGTGGAAAGAATTATTATGCTGTTAGTAACAAGTACATTTACATTTTAGACACAATATTGGCAGATCCTTTGTCTAATTTTGCTCCACCAAAATAGTTCAAAACAAAGTCAAAGAATCAACCATTGCATCTCCAAGCATCACACAGAAGTGGGGTTTCATTCCTAAATGAATCAGTGTTTTAAAAGAATTGTCTGAGTGAGTGATTCACTAACTCACTCATGAAGACTTGTTTAACTGATTTGTTTCATTCCAGATTGAAGTGTGTTTGAATGAATCAGTTCAGTTAATGATTTGATGACTCAGTCATTAAGACAGTCACTTGTTTTGTTCCTGAATGAATCAGTGTGTTTGAATTATTCAGTTCAATGAATGATTTGATGACGCTTATAAAGATACAACTTGTTTGTTTCGGTTCTGTGAATGATTCAATGATTCACTCATTAAGACAGCCACAGATGGCGGCGCGTGCACACGCTGCGGCTTCTCTCTCTCCTGTCAGAACGGTGTTTTTGTGTTTTTTGTCTTGTGAGTCGCAGTGTTTTCGTACGTCTTCATCGCGTCTACCTGTCTCTAAGCGCTCATACAGTCGTGGGTTTCTGCTCGATGTCGGCAGAACCACATTTTTAGAGTTAAACTCTGCGCACGCCGAAGAGCTGCGGGATCTCGGTCTGCTCCGGAGGCCCACACCATCACCGACCCCCACTACTGCATCTCGCCCACAGCGGAGGCGCCACAAGCGGCGTGAGAGGAAGCAGAAGAGGGGTAAGCGTGGAGGTATCCGGGCTAGGCTAACGGCTAACCCACACAAGCCAGCTATCCCCACCATCGTACTGGCTAACGTACGCTCTTTGGACAATAAACTGGACTACTACGCTCAACTCAGACGACTGTAAGAGACTGTTGTGCTTTTCTGTTCACGGAAACATGGCTCAACGACAGCGTTCCGGACTGCGCTATTCATCTCGATCAGCTGACATGCTATCGAGCGGACAGAGTTCTCGTCGAGGGAGGTAAGACCCACGGCGGCGGGCTTTGTGTTTACATCAATGATGCGTGGTGCCGCGATGCTGTTGTGGTCTGCAAACACTGCTCAACCCTGGTGGAGTTTATGATTATTAAGTGCCGGCCGTTCTATCTACCGAGGGAATATACAGCCATACTGCTCGTTGCTGATCCGGGCTAGGCTAGCGGCTAACCCACACAAGCCAGCTATCCCCACCATCGTACTGGCTAATGTACGCTCTTTGGACAATAAACTGGACTACTACGCTCAACTCAGACGACTGTAAGAGACTGTTGTGCTTTTCTGTTCACGGAAACATGGCTCAACGACAGCGTTCCGGACTGCGCTATTCATCTCGATCAGCTGACATGCTATCGAGCGGACAGAGCTCGCATCGAGGGAGGTAAGACCCGCGGCGGAGGGCTTTGTGTTTACATCAATGACGCGGTATCTATCTGTATTTATGTTCTACTGTTAGTGTTATCTGTATGCACCAAGGGTCTGAGAGTAACGCAATTTCAATTCTCTGTATGTATGTGCTGTACATGTGGAAGAATTGACAATAAAGCAGACTTGACTTGACACTTGTTTTGTTCCTGAATGAATCAGTGTGTTTCAGTTCAGGGAATGATTCAAAGACTCACTCATTAAGACAGACACTTTTTTAGGTCCTGAATGAATCAGTTGAGTGAATAATTTGATGATTCGCTAAAAAGACACTTGTTGCCACCTACTGATGTGACAATGTTATCATACAGAAAAAGTCACTTAAAAATTGCACCATTGCACAGACTGACAGTCTGTCTGAAATGTACAAACACAGACAAGAAGAGAGATACAAACAGTGAAAAATCCTGTTGGACTGTATATCAGCACTCTTGGCACACTGCACAGCCAATCAAATCTGAGGACTGTTGTGTAACTGTTAGCTGGTGTTTCTCATCATGACACATTCCAGCTCAGTTAAAGCCCACCACAGATGGACCGTGGCTTCTCGTTGGGCCCGGCCTGACTAGATGCTTCCCAAGCTAATAGTCCAAACTGCGGTCCATCTGCTAGCTAGACTTTTTGGCTTTGTTTCTCGCTCTACTCTTCCTCTCCACCTCTTCCCTACACTCTAAATTCCCTCAACAGTCTCTAACAGTAATAATATTTAGCTGTAGTGAGTCCAGAGCTGCAATTTACTAACAAGGCTGGCACACAGCAGCTCCAGGCCCTGCACAAACACCTGCATCCTGACTTCACACAGGGTTTCTTCCTCCTCTGTGCCCCTCTTCATAGCCGTCCTCAGACATTTTTATTTTACAGTCAACTGATCCTAAAACTAGCTACCATCTTACCCCAGAACACACACAGGGACACACAGGAGCATGAATGGTCTCTGATTCCTCATACTTAGTCGATTGCTTAATAAATAAACCAGTCTTATAATAGTATTCAAATGCAACTGTTTTAAAGGCACAATATGTAAGATTTTTTATTAAAATATCCAAAAACCACTAGAACAGTGTTAAATATTTTGCTGACTTGTGTACTTACATTATCCCAAATGTTTCGAAGAATGTTTAAATCCAGAGAAATAAGCACTTTTAACTAGTGACACGGACCGTGTCCGTAGTGTCATTGTGTCTGCTGCCAATGATGTCATAACCCCTCGATTTCCGGTTTTGTTTTGTAGAAAACATGGAAACACCAAAGATGCTTTAATATGTTATGCATTTTATTAGACAGGTGACGACCGCACAGAGTAGCATTATAACAGAACTTTCAAATGTATCTAGTATGATAAAACAGCGCTGCTTTTTTCCCCTACATACGCACGACCGGAAGGAGCGGACGCGGTCGACTGTGGCATAATAAAAGCTCCGCTGCTTTCCAGCCATGTGTCGCGCTCGTTCAGCGGCCTCATTTCGCTTCGACGGCTTTCAGCCTCACCCTGCTTCATTCTACTACGTTAACAAATCATTAGCTCATCCATGAACATGATTTCTGCCCGAGTCCCGTCGGATTGCTTCGGCTGTGGGGATGAAGACGACAACTCCCATGATTCCACACTCAGTCACGGCGTCATCAAACTACGCCTTTGTTTCTTTGTTTGTTTTGAATACGCGCCCTCTAGCGGCGAAAAATTACATATTGTGCCTTTAAGCCTCAGGAAAAAAACATGCTGATTTACAATGTTGCCTTGTATGTTAAAACTCACTCTTCTTTTGAAGCAGCAACTGACATTTTTTTCTATATTTATGTTTTTCTTTTCCAGTGTGTCCAAAGAAGTGTGAGAAAAGGGCGTGCACGAATAAGGCTCACCCCAAGTGCTGTCACCCCCAGTGTCTGGGCAGCTGCACTGAACCAGACAACGATAAGGCATGTGCCGCCTGCCAGCATTACTTTCACGAGGACCGCTGCGTTGAGGCCTGCCCGCCGGGCACGTACAAGTTTGAAGGTTGGCGTTGCATCACCATGGACATGTGTGCCCGTGTTCACCTACCCAGTGAGGTCGACTTTGTCATCCACAATGGAGAGTGTATGCCGGACTGCCCTCCCGGATTCACCCGAAATGACACTCAGAGGTATGCCTCCTGAGCTGGATGTAGGAGTGCCTCATTAAACACCAGTGTCAAGAGTGTTTATTTATGCTTTTGCAGTATCGTTATTGCTAACTAAAACTCAAACTAACACTATTAAAAATAGTTTTCCTTAACTGAAATAAAGCTTGAAATTATATTTAAATGATTAATAATTTAAAACTGGCCAACCAATGAGATTGGCCCTTTTGTTCACGTACGTGAGCTGCTGAAGTTACAGTAAAACACGACTTGGTGGCGCTCAAGCACAAAACGGTCTTGCCGAGCACACATTGATACCTAACGACAAAGAGGAAGTAAGTAGACCAAGAAGATGCATCGAGGGAAGATGAATGTAGAGCTGCTGGTCTCATTGGTGTCTGAACACAAAGGGCTTTATGACAAACGCGAAAGCGACTACAAAAATCTCGATAAGAGGGAGTTATGGAGAGGAATTGCAGATCAAATAGGATTCGATGTGTACCGGGGTATTTCTGTTTTTCATTAAGCACCATCTAATGTCAGGGAGTGAATTTGCACGTTCACTCGGCACATCACACAAAGGGCTTTATGACAAACGCGAAAGCGACTACAAAAATCTCGATAAGAGGGAGTTATGGAGAGGAATTGCAGATCAAATAGGATTCGATGTGTACCGGGGTATTTCTGTTTTTCATTAAGTGCCATCTAATGTCGGGGAGTGAATTTGCATGTTCACTCGGCTCATCGCCTGCGAAAATCGCTTGGGTATGAACACAAAAGACGCGTCGAAAAACGTCGGCGATAAGCGCACGCGATAATCGTCCCGGTGTGTACGAGGCTTTAGATGAAAGATTTAAACTTAACCATAAACGAAAATTAGAAATGCTTATTTTGAATTTGGCATTTAACTGAAATAAAATAAGTTTAAGTATTAAAATTACTAAAAGTAAAACTTAAATATTTAGCTTAAATTAATACTAAATAGAAATATAAAAAAACTAATGAAAGTGACAAAAGCACATAATAAAATTACTGATGTAATTGTAAAAATAAAAAAAATGAAATTTAAAAATAAAAAAGGCAATTCAAAATATTACTAAATATTTATAATAAATTATAAAAAATATAACACTAAAATAAGGTATCGTTTACGCATACAAAATAATTAGGGCTGGGTTTTGACACAAATTTCACGATTCAATTCAATTCTCATTCACAAGCTTGCGATTTGATTCAATTACCGATTCGATTTAATTTATATTTAAATCGAATCGAATATTTAATTTATTCGATTATTTGGGATATATATCAGGTACAGTACATGCCAAATTTTCTCAAGGAAAAAAAATCTCAACTAATGCTGTAAAATAAACATGAGAGTCAGTTGGTACTACATTACTATAATACTGAAGGTTAAAATTTTAAATGTTAAAATTACAATTTTAAGATTTTTAGGCTATACAACTGCTTAAATTACACTTAAGGAAGTTTTTATAATAATAAAGTTACAATTACATAATAATATTTGTTCTGAATCATTTTTTCTGAAATATAAACATTTAAATGGTGGCTGTCATAAAAACTTGACAGATTTATTTAAACAAATTAAACGTTGAAGAACAGTAAAACTTATAATGAATATGTTATATGGTGCATATATTTAGCAGAATGCCCCTCTCTACAGTTTACTTTTCTATCTGACTAATGAGTTTATGGTCACCGAATATTTTTTTCTTAGGTAAATGTGACGTTACGTGACATTGTTTACAAGCCGTTATATTGACGTTTTTTCGCGGCTGAAACACTGATTGAGCGATTACATGAGACAGGATACGGATTGTAAAGTTGTACTCTTTCTTTTAGCTTACCTTCGGATGTTTAGTCATGTTTATTTTGTGCTGAAACTGTTATTAATGTGGAGGAGATGATCAGTTCACATGCGCCTCGCGCTGCCGCGTCTTAAACATTTATTGTTTAAATACTGCAATACAATGGACAGACTTTGTTTCATATTAAAAGTACCAAAGCACAATGCTTATTGCGATATATTAGATGGGGAGTGCTCTTCAATGTTCCGTCCAGTAACTGAAAACAGGCTAGACTAATCAATTCTTGGGATTTAAGAATCGATATCGTTTCGTAAAAATGAGAATCGATTAAAATCGAGATATCGATATTTTTTACCCAGCCCTAAAAATAATATATACTTATATACTAAATAAAACTTTTTTTCATTTTGTAATACAGATGTTATTGTGAAAATAAATGTATTACCAAAAAGTTTTGCAAATTTTTATTTTTAAATACGTCATAAAATAAAGAACCAGTTGGTTCATTTCGAGTCAGAAGTGGCTTGTGGTTCAGTAAGTGAGTCAGATAGTTAATTCAGTAAAACTCCAACTTATTTAGAGAGTCATTTGAACGATTCAAAATAACAAAACATGGCCATTCGGAATACTTCATTCTGACTGGTTGATCACAGCATTCTGTGGTAAAATTAGTTTGTGTAACTGCCGTCGGGGTTTATTTTGCGATAATGACCATCTAACCACACATTATCATCACATTAGCAACGTGATTTGCGAGATTAGATGAACATGTTCATCTTGAACTTTCATTTATAAATCCATAAAGCTAAAATGGAAAATGTTACCACAGAATTGGTCCTAAACAACAGCCCTGCCTGTTCTCTGTAGGTTATGGTGGCTCTACAACCCTCTTATACACCATATGAACATCTTAATTGTTCTAAAGCTGTTATTTATGCTGCCATTAGGATGTATGTGCTGATTTGAAGGCCTAGATTGAGATTTATGATCTCAAAATCCAGGACTGTTTACTTTCAGGTGGCACATATAACCATACTGGTTTCTTGAGGGGAAAAAAGTCAAGAGAAATATATTTAAACTAGGTAAAGGAGATTGTAATAACCATACCTGGGACTTTCCTTGGACACCTGCACTTTTCAAGTTAAATATTAAAAGAAAAATCACTTTATTTACTTTTCCATGTAACTTTTTAGATGTTGAGCCTGTTTTGTAAATTGACCAGACCTGGTTTTGCCTCACTGCTGATTTAATGATCCCCCTTTCACGTAGAACCCAGGGTTTAAGCGAGGACTCTGTTAAGCACAAAGACCTCATAAAGCAGTGACCTTGTGTTTGTCAAAAACAGACCTTAAATATACTTCATGTTTTGGTGAGACACTAATCCTGTCACGGTTCACTGGCTTTGCCTGTTTGGAATCTGTGTGTGTGGCTGTGATCTGTCCTTGACACTCACTCTCCCTTCTTCTCCCCCTCTCTCCCACCTGCAGTATGTTTTGTAGTGCATGTGACGGACTGTGCGATAAGGTCTGCGAATCTAAAACAATTGACTCGGTGGATGCTGCTCAGTCCCTGCAGGGCTGCACGGTCATCAAAGGCAACCTGCACATCAACATCCGGCGGGGCAGTAAGTACCCTCGCTCTCACCCTCCTCTCCCACAACCGCCAGTGATAAGGACTTTCTTATTTCTAAACAAATGACAGATCCAAGCTTGAGCCATTGCATCAATATTTGTACCTCTCCCTATTTTTATACAAATATATTATTCAGAGTTCCCATGGTCATGGAAAACCTGTCAGAGAATATTAAAATTGTGATTTACAACCTGGGAATGTAAGGAAAATTAGTAAAATATTAAAATGTTTAGTCAGATCTTTAATAGGATTTCTTCTGTTCTAAAATATTAAATTTGCTAGATATATATTTTTTAATTATAAAACTTAATTTTGTTTTCACTAAACATTTCCAGGACCACGTTACATTTTGTAATTGGTAAATACTCTTTGAGTTTTGAAAAACTAAAATTGAGAGAAAAGAAAAAGATTTTGTAAAAACTATTTTTATTGTTTAACTTATCAAAGTTTACATGTTAACTTAAAATATTAGTATTTCTTAAGTTTTTGAAAGTACTTAGTATGAACATTTAAAGATAAAGTTGAAATGAAAAGTGGGTAAAAAAAACTAAGAAAAAAATGCTAGATAAATATTTTACAGAAAAAAAATTGTTTTAGTTTTAAGTTTTGGTTTAATACAATGACAATATAAAATCCAATTAATTATTTTAAAAATGTGCAATAAACATATACTTGTTTAAATCTATTTTTCCAATGACTGGCATGTGATAGATAAATTAAAATCACTTTGGGTCCTGAAAATTTTTGGTCAGACATTGGGGGACCCTTATTATTGTGTTGATTAACTGATGTATTTTCCTGGGGCTCATGTATTTTTTTAGTATGAGCCGCTAAAGCTCTTAGTGGTTTGATATGGGACAGTTGCCGCTGCCCATGTATCACTCACACTGATGAAGTGATGAGTTATAGTGCAGACACTGTGTGTCCTGTGGGATTTGGTTTGTGTTGCTCCAGTGTCATAACTCTTTCTTTCTCTCTGTCTGTCTGTCTGTCTCTCCTCTCACACTGTCCCTCTCTCTCTCTCTGTTTCCCCAGCTAACATTGCATCAGAGCTGGAGAGTTTCATGGGCCTGATCCAGACAGTGACTGGATATGTAAAGATCAAACACTCACACACTCTGGGCTCTCTGTCCTTCCTCAAGAGCCTGCGATACATTCATGGAGAAGAGCTCACGGAGCAGTAAGACTTTAATGCACATAACGATTGTTGTGACGTTTCAATGATTGATTGTGTACAGAACAGAACTAGCCTGCAAAACAGGTGTTGTATGCATGCTATATGTCTCATTGAACACCAGTTATTCGTTGGCCTGCTTAGGACTGTGTCAGGATCATTTATGTCATCTTGAATGGCATAACAGTCTGTCTCCATTGATGTGGAGATAATTTCAGCTTTAAGCTGGTTGTTTGATCAGTATCTTCATCATATGAAGAAAAAAATATATGACTACTTCCCATAAAAAAGCTCCATTTATTTAATCACAAATACATAAAAAAGTAATATTGTTAAATATTATTACAATTTAAAATAACTGTTTTCTATTTCATTATATTTTAAAATGTAATTTATTCCTGTGATGGTAAAGATGAATTTTCAGCAGCCATTACTCCAGTCTTCAGTGTCATATTATCCTTCAGAAATCATTCTAATATTATGATTTGGTGTCTTATTATCATCAATGTTAAAAACAGTTTTGCTGCTTAATATTTTTGTGAAAACCATAATACGTTTTTTGCAGGATTTGATGAATAGAAAAGAAATAGAACATTATAAATACTTTTACTGCCACTTTTGTCAATTTAATGTCTTTGCTGAGTATTAATTTTAAACATTAGTGTATATTGTTAAAACTTTGTCTTTCAAAATCTGTCCAAATGTTTCAAAAACCAGCTTGACTACCTGAAGCGAGTTAGACCAGCTGGTAGGTGGTTTGTTGTTGGTCAAAGATGATTAGCAGCTATCATGTTCTAAAACTCAGCTTCTGCACCAGCACAGTAGTCACGTTGCAACATAGTCTCATGTCTGATCCAAAAAGAAGAACATGAATATTTCTTGTATGTCTCTGTGTCCTTCACAGTCCTCTGATTGTAACACATTTCTTCAAAGGTGTCTATAGGAATCGTGAAAGTAATAAAATGTCAGCTATAATGGAATGTACAGCTCAGGGTCATAAAGCTGAGGTTGAGAGATTCAGCTAATACAGTGGGGAAAATATTTATTTGATCCCCTGCTGATTTTGTAAGTTTGTCCACTTACAAAGAAATGAAGGGTCTGTCATTTTTACGGTAGGTTTATTTTATCTAATAGAGACAGAATACCAACCAAAAAATCCAGAAAAACACATTATATAAAGGTTAGAAATTGATTTGCTTTTTAGTGATTGAAATAAGTATTTGATCCCCAAGCAAAACATGACTTAGTACTTGGTGTTGCTGATGGTCTTGTAGCCCATTCCAGCCTTATGCAGATCTACAATCTTGTCTCTGACATCCTTTGACAGCTCTTTGGTCTTGCCCATGGTGGTGGGAGAGGTTGGAATGGAAGATACAGATTGTGTGGACAGGTGTCTTATACACCTAACAAGCTGACATTAGGAGTAACTTCTTAAAGTGACAGCACTAATCGGTGTTCCACATGGGCACATAACCAATCTGTGGGAGCCAGAATTCTTGCTGGTTATAGGGGATCAAATACTTATTTCACTCACTGAAATGCAAATCAATTTCTAACCTTTATATAATGCGTTTTTCTGGATTTTTTTGGTCGATATTCTGTCTCTATCCGTTAAAATAAACCTACTATAAAAATTACAGACCCTTCATTTCTTTGTAAGTGGGCAAACGTACAAAATCAGCAGGGGACCAAATAAATATTTTCCCCACTGTATACGCATACGCACAGAAGTATACAGGAAGTGATTTAACACAAACACATTTTTTTTCTGCTATCTGACTCATTTTTCCTCACATGATGTCAGTGTTTTATGGAGGATGTCAGAGGGAGGCTGTGGGAACTCTTCTGTTGTGATCTCACTAGGGTTGAGTTTCATCTCGTGGAATGCTTGTTAAGCAGCTCAGACATTCTTCACGTTCCTTAGGTGTTCAGTGCGACTCGGTCTGGTGCAGCTGTAGAAGTCATCCTAACCCTCTTCTGAACCCTGATCTCCATGCGTGCTTTAATGAAACACAATCTGTGCACACACTTCAGTTGTTTTCACACATATCGAATTCGTCATGTGTTTAACCAGATCTGATCGTTCTCATTGCTTTCTTTGGTTAAATTTTTCTTACATTAAACACAAGAAATTTAGTGTTTAATACTTTGTTGTTTGTGTATGTGTTTTCCTACTACAGGTTGTATGCATTCTCTGCAGTGGACAACCAGCACTTGCAGTATCTGTGGGACTGGAATCAGCACAATCTGACCATTGGAGCTGGAAAATTGTTCTTCCGTTTCAATCCCAAGCTTTGCATGTCTGAGATCCAGAAAATGTGGGAGAAGACTGGTGTTAAGGAAAAGATGGAAGAGGACGATGCTCGTAGCAATGGAGAACGAGCAAGTTGTGAGTAGATGAAGTGTTTACCGTGATGCTCTGCCACTGCAGTCTGCAGTGCCACAGCAAAATTTATTTTATTTGAAATGAATTTATATTTTTACATTTTGAGTTTGAATTCAATGTGATGAGTACCACAGACATAATATCAAGACAACATTGGATTTCTGTTCTGTTTTCCTTGTTGACTGCACCCAAGAATGAAGCCTGATTCATGAACAAATTACTTTTATGTCATAATCCAGGTGAACCAGAAATAGATATTTTTTTAAATAAGTAAAACTACCAACAATATCAAAAGAAAAGGTAAACGCACTAGATGCTCAGCTTACTCTTGAGATGAACTCCATAAAGCATTAGATTAAATGCCAAATAATAAATCACCCGGACTTGATGGACTCCAAACATAATTCTATAAACACTTCTGGCAAATTCCAAGTCCGTTATTTCATAGAAGTCACAGTCACAGAAATAAAAACTACATCCACAATTCCGATGCATATGAATATGGCCGTAATGACACTTTTACTAAAACCAAACAAAGACCCAGTTCACCCCACTAGTTACCGCCCTCTCTTGTTGAATAGAGATTTAAAAATGATTAACAAAGCTCTAGTTAAAAAGGTAGTTTTACTTGCGACAGCAATATGACAAAACGTTACAATCCAAGGAAAACAAGATATCAACACACAACATAAAAGTTGTCTTTATGCAGATGATTTGTTGTTATGCTTACAGGATCCTTTTACCTCACTACAAGAAACCTTCAAAATCATTAATATTTTTTCAAAAATTTCAGATTGGGAAATTTCTGAGATTCCTGGGATTCTACAGCTCGTAACACTTCGCTCCCAAAATCAAAATCTTCAAATGTAAAACCAAAATCAAAATGTAAAAACACTTCAGTCGCAGATCTTGCCTTCTTACCATGTTACATCGAATGTTACAATCGAATGTTACAATCACATCAACTCTGACAGTTTGTTGGAAAGTGCACAATATAATAATTCACCACTAACACCATGTAGATACACCCTAATCTGGCACAACCCCAACTTTCAACTGTATAATAAGTCTATACACTTTCCATCATGGCAACATAAAGGAATAACTCATCTCCATCATTTATTCCAAAATAACCAATTTATATCATTTAACATACTAGTTCAGAAATACAGCCTTTGGGGAGAACAATTTCTCCAGTATCAACAAATAAAATCCATAGTTAAATCCAAGATTAATATAACTAATAACCCACTACACTAATATCTAAGCTTCATAAATGTAAATCAAATACAGATACAACAATAGCACTACCAATGGACAATTGGCTTTCTCCCCCAACCCCGACCTCTGGAAGTAGGTCAAGAAATTTGTAATAATACCTTTCCTATTTCTAGCAATACACATTTACAACTAATACAGTACAAGATAATTCACATTACTCACATCACCTAAAGGGAAAAAGTTTCAAATGGGTTTAAGCAACACAGATATTTACTCATAGTCATAATGCACACTGGGTAGCACCGACAACTACTTGCATGCCACATGGATCTGTCAAACTGTTTATTCATTTTGGATATCAGTGAACAATAAACTTTCCATTATTATGGGCTGTAGAATCCCTCCATCACTTTCTTTATTAGGTAACACCATTGAAGTAGATAATATCCCAATTAAGTAGAAAAACCCAATCCTCGTTTCTCTATCTATCGCAAAGAAAATAGTTATTTTAAACTGTAAATCAAAAAAGTGTATACATATCAATCACTGGATTAACTCTCTTAGAGAATACATCACATTAGGAAAAATGACATTCACCCACAAGAAGAATATATTTACACTTATCAACATTTGGAATCCTTTGTGGTTTTATTTTAATATAAACCAGACACATGGAACCGGAACCATGCACTCTTCCAATCACAACTTCATAAACCTATAAAAGAGAGAAGGGGAATGAGTGAAATTAATATGTTTATATATTTGTGTGTACTATGCGCATATGTTTATGTATGCATGTGTATATGTAGGTACATTATCGACATGTATATCGACAGTTTTATTATTATATGCTCTGTTACTACTATTATTATATCACTATAGAATATGATCTATAGATATGGGGAACAAAATTGTATGTATGTTATTGTATGTTATGCATTATTTTTATTACTTAATTTTACTTTACTCTATATCTCTTCTCCTTCAAATATTCTGTTCTACATATGTTTAGATGCATACATATTGAGATATATACATAATATATACATATATACAGTGGGTACGGAAAGTATTCAGACCCCCTTAAATTTTTCACTCTTTGTTATATTGCAGCCATTTGCTAAAATCATTTAAGTTAATTTTTTTTCCTCATTAATGTACACACAGCACCCCATATTGACAGAAAAACACAGAATCGTTGACATTTTTGCAGATTTATTAAAAAAAGAAAAACGGAAATATCACATGGTCCTAAGTATTCAGACCCTTTGCTGTGACACTCATATATTTAACTCAGGTGCTGTCCATTTCTTCTGATCATCCTTGAGATGGTTCTACACCTTCATTTGAGTCCAGCTGTGTTTGATTATACTGATTGGACTTGATTAGGAAAGCCACACACCTGTCTATATAAGACCTTACAGCTCACAGTGCATGTCAGAGCAAATGAGAATCATGAGGTCAAAGGAACTGCATGAAGAGCTCAGAGACAGAATTGTGGCAAGGCACAGATCTGGCCAAGGTTACAAAAAAATTTCTGGCATTGAATAAACACGAGCGCTGGTGTTTCAGAGTCTGGTGTTGCTGCTTTGTTTACTGCCGTTACCGGGGAAACAATGATATTTTTGCTGTTCCGAAAGCGCCTCCTGCTGGCAGAAAATGAATGTGCATTTTCAATAAGCCTGTTTTATTGGAGTAGGGTATTCCGGAGGCTGCAGTTTCAGGACCGCATTTCTAGGACCCTATAGGCTAGTTTTTTTTAATTATTTTATTTTTTATTTTTTTGCATTATTATTCTTTTTAAGGAATTATGTAGTTGTTTAATTGTATACACTTAATTATTGTTCTAACGAACTCCTAACCCTAAACATTCTGGTTGGTCTGGTTTATATATATATATATATATATATATATATATATATACGGTTTTCATTATCTGTAAGCCATAATCATCAAAATTTCAAGAAATAAAGGCTTTAAATATTTCACTCTGTGTAATGAATCTATATAATATATGGGTTTCACTTTCTGAAATGAGTGACAAAAAATATTGACCTTTTTCATGATATTCTAATTTTTTGAGATGTACCTGTATAGGATTTCTCTCTCTCTCTCTCTCTCTATATATATATATATATATATATATATATATATATAGTTTTTAGGTTTTAAATTCTGTTTTCTTAGAAAGAAAGATTTGTGTCTTTGCGAGACTTGTTCATTAGTGGCAGCACAGCACTTCACGTCTGATGTCTGACCCACTTAACAAAGTGCAGTAAACGGTAAAACAATTGTGGTACAAATTTTACATTTAGTATATTAATAATTTAAGGGGCCTAGTAGAAATGTGGTCCTGAAACTGCAGCCTCCGGTATTGCAGGAACACAGTATTGGGGTTGTTTTTGTTCAGACCAATGTGAAAATCGAAAAGTTTTTTCCCTGGAAACTCACAGAGCTGTAAATGTGAACTGGTGGATCGATAAGAAGGTAATGCATTATAAAAATTTAAACAGTAAAATGTATTTATATGTAGACTTGTGCCGGTTTTCGGTAATGCGATATATCACGGTAATGAATATGCACGATATTGTTATCGTGGGCTCTTCTAAATACCGTGAATAATTATATATTACAAGTTATTCAGAATTTTGAATGCATTTTAAGAATACTTTTCCCATCAACTGGTCAAAATGCACAACACCGCTGTATGCTGCGTGAA